GTCAGAAGTTAAATGCTTCATCCACATAGCTCTTAAGAAGCAGAGTAGAGATTCAAAACTCTGTTAATTTCTAAAATTCATGATAGTCTGTTCCTTTCCCAGCTTTATGGTTTGGGGGATAGAGTGAAGAGGGGGGAATGTTCTTAACTTTCTGTGTATGCTATATTTGTCTCTGCAATCTGGTAAAATCTATGGTCCTCTTAAAGAGTGTTTTTATTAAATGCCTAAAACATGTACAATAAAAAATAAATAAAAAACCAATTACACCAAAATACAGTTCTCAAACATTAAAAAATACATTTGAGAAATTGTGTTACCTCTGCTTCTTTATGAGGGAAGGCATCTAGTGACTACTGTTATTTGCTTTCAATAGAAAGGACATTGTTAGATCAAAGCATTAAAGCACAGTACATGGTATAATGTCCTAAGAGATAAACCATGTTTCTTAATTGTTCTATATAGCATGCTTTAAAAACAAACAATAAATGGTAGGACTTATCATTTAGATTTTATAATGTTAGAGAATTTAAAGAAAATAATACTCACTACAACCTCTTACCATATTTTTCCGTGTTATAAGACATCCCATGTTTAAAACACCCCATGCATAAGACACCCCTCACCCCCAACTATTCCAACCCAAACTTAAGAAATCAGTATTTTAAACATTTTGCTGGTTTTCCTTTTAAGGCCTTCTTTTTTTCTTTTTCTTTTTTTTTTTCTTTTTTTTTTTTTGGCATCTTAAGGAGTTGTTCTTCCTGTTTTCTCCACTGTCTGATCTTGCACTCAGTGAGAGGAGATCAAAATTATCTCTCTGCATCTCTATTTCCATGCATAGCTGATTAATTATGTTCTGTTTGAATTTTTCAAAGTAAGACAATCGCTTACTGGTATTTTATCTGTTTATTTTTTGACATCTTTATGGGATCAGAACACTCCCGTCCCTGCTGCATCTGCACACTCTGCACCTCCACCTCCAATTACAGCATCTGCTGGTATCAGTAACAATGAGGCTCCTGATTGGATGAAGCCTATTTGACAAGGTATGGGCAGCTATGCACCCGTGCAGCTCCCTCCTCGGCTGACTTCCACGTATAAGACGCCCCTTGATTTTCAGTCTAACAATTTTAGAAAAAAATAGTGCCTTATACACATAAAAAAATGGTACATACACAGGATACTTTCCTACAATATCCAATAAGAGTTGTTTCCAACCACATAAAACTGTATTATCCATAAATACAAGGTGGGGCAAACGTAGGTTTATAGTTGTTCATATGGAAAATAATAAAATTAATAAATAACAGTAAAATAATAAAATCTGTGTTTTGCATACTCACAACTGTAAACCTACTTCTGCCCCACCCTGTGTGTTCATATTCAGCCATAACCTACATCTCAGCAATAAAATGCAGAAAGGACTAGTTTAATAGATCAGGAGTCAAGAACATTTAATTTTTGCCACTGATTCATGTACAGCCTCAAGACAATCAATATATGAATGACCACTATAGCAAATACACAAATGTATACAGATAAGTGTGTTTTGATTCTGTGCACTTCATTTGTGTTTGCTAAATAGCCAGACAACCAGAACTGTTCAACAATTATAAGAACAGAGCACAATTAACAAGACCAATAATGTATACTATACTCTGAAAGAAGAAGGGAAGCTGCATGAGGTGAAAATAAGACAAGACAGTCCTTTTCTATCCTTTAAATTGTATATACACCCTCTATGCCCTGGTCTTCACCACCCACTCTATCAAACTCCTCACTGTTAAATTCACCCTGGGAATAAGAAGGTCCTGTAACTACATACATCTCGCCTCTGCTCAGATGATCCTCCCAGATGATCTGGCCAACTTCTAATCTTCTCTAAGACCCCACTCACATATCCTCATCTCTGGAAAGCCACTCTTCTAAAATGTTGTTAGCTCTTTAAGTATCCATCTATCTGCCATATAAAATCACCTAAGAAGCTTCGCATCCCTGGGTTCGAGAGCAGTGCTCAAAACACAGTGTGATGAATTAGACTAAAGAGTCACTTAGCAAATGCTCAATGTCTAAAATAATTTAAAATTCTCATACTGCTGCCACCCAACAAAAGCATTTCCACAAAGACCATATAATTATACATTCTATACTACACATATATTTTAACTATAACAATCATCTTTCACATTTCCACAGGATCTCAAAAACTATTTTAAAAGTCTGTTGGTACAGAGGACCAATTTACTATTATAATTTAAAGGGCATTATCCTACTAAGATAACACTAAAGTGAATATCTCTGGGCAAATATCATTTTGTCACTAATTATTTCTTTGGGATACATTTCAAGAAATAAAATATCTGCATACAGGGGTACAGAGCTTCATGTCATCAACAACAAATGACTACATTGTTCCACACAACCTCAGGATAATTGTTGTAAAAATAAGTGTCAAATGCATTGGTGAATAAAAATTGTTATCTCCACACTGTTCCCATTTTTACATTTTATTACTAAGAGTAATTTTTCCATATATTAGTTCACCATTTATAATTTCCTTTGTCTATTTACCTATTATATCTTCTCATATATTAGAATAAGCTATCTTTTTAATATTAATTTCATCTATCCAGTGTGAGATACATTTTTATTTCTGCATTCTAACTCTATATCTAAGAGAGGAAGCTCTCCAGTGGTCTGAATGTTCTTTTACATTTTCTACTTTTTTCCCCCTACATTTTGATTCATTCATATTCTCTCTCTCTCTCTCTCTCTCTCTCTCTCTCTCTCTCTCTCTCTCTCTCTCTCTCTCTCTCTCATATATATATATATATATATATCGACCTATGAACCAGGAGGTCTTGGTTCCATTTCTAGTCAGGGGACATACCTGGATTGTGGCTACATCCCCAGTGGGGATTATGCAGAAAGCAGTCTATCAGTGATTCTCTCTCATTACTGATGTTTCTATCTCTCTCTCTCTCCCTTCCTCTCTGAAATCAATAAAAAATATATATTAAAAAAGAGAAGAGCATGATCATAATTCTTTCCTAAAACAATAATGTATATAAATTTGAAAAGAATAATGAATTATTTAAATGCTTGTTTTCACTTCAGTAAGTCCTATTAGCAGAATGCTATAGAACAGATATGAATACATTTGGAAAAATTTAGCTGTTCAACTGGACATATTCCAACTTTATTTTTCAAATATCTTGAACACATGATGAACAGCTTTCACTTTCTCAGATTAAATTCTCGGATCAACCTGAGCCAAGACCATATAGTATATATACTCATTCATAGACAGACTCTGCTGTATGTGCTTACATACTTTATATCACTAAAATTAATAATTTTCACATCCATGAGGTGTCAGTAGTTCTTCATACATTTGGTAGCAAGGTCTTGATTCGCACAAATGGTATTTTTTCCAGATCTAACGTGTCCAACCCCTGAGCTTACTCGTGTTTTTTTCTAGGATATTTTTGTTGAGATCCTGTACTTACAGGGCTTTTCCAGTGACATGTTAGGTCAGATGCCACATGGAGCCTAGCCCAAACCTCAAATGGAGAAACCACATAAATTGTCCAAGCTACTCTTAGCCAAGTCTCTCACCACTGAATTCCTCTTTCTTCTCCTCCGGACGCCCAAAATGAAGGGAAATTATTAAAAAAAAAAAAAAAAAAAAAAAAAAGCGTGTGTGTGTGTGTGTGTGTGTGTGTGTGTGTGTGTGTGTAGGTTTTACACACTAAAATGGGGACTCCGAAAATTAGTTCAATTCGACAAAGAAAGTAAATAGAATTCTTGGGGTTTGAGAGTAGCTTTCACATTGAATCAGAAAGCACTACTTCCCTTCTCAATCTCTCCTGGCAGCTCTAGTTGCCCCATGAGACTTACCACTTTGTATGTGTAATGGTCAGGAGCTTGTCTCACCACTCCTATTAAACAGCATGCCTTGAGGATGGCATTTCTGCCACAGTCACTTTGGCATCCTCCACAGCACTCAAAGGGCTTGAAGCCTTGCACAGTTTTCCTGAGTGCACAAGAAAAACTATCCAATCTACACAGAAAAGTCTAAATCCTTACTTCATTTAATAAAACTCTTTTTAAAAATTTAGATACTGCCAAAAATATCATTGCCAAAACTATGGTTTTGAAAGCCTAAGGAAGGAAAAGTAATCATTTTATAAAACCTGCAATAGGCCTGTCTCAAGAGATAGACTTGTATCAATATTTCATTGAAATGATATGCACATTATAACTCCACACTTCATTTTTGCAACAAATGCAGGTGCTAAAAGGCCATTTACAAAATCTGTTACTGAACTATAGAACTGTGGCTGTATCATGTTTGTTAGGGTTGTCATGTATGAGTTGTTAAAACAGACCTCATTCCAGACAGCACAAGGCTGCAACTCCAACTGCAGTGCAGGTTGATTGCCTGTAAAACATCTGCATAATCCCATTCACCATGTAACCAGCAACTTCCTGAGTTCACTTCATCATAAAGAAGTTCTGAATCCCCATTTTCTGTATGTCTAGATTCTGCAATGTCAATATTGTGAAATTTATAGCTATCCAAGTACTTTATTTTCAAGAATTACTTTTGATAAGCACATTATCTACAACAAACACATTCTTTAGAAGAAATTAAAGGATTCTAAAAAAGAAAAGGCAGTGTCTAAAAATTTGATTTTAAAAATGTAATAAAAAATATAAAATATTTTGGCATAAAGTATTTGCTAAAGTTAAGTAAAATGTTAAGAGGAATAGTTAACTTCTCAGTTCTAAGAATCATATGAAAAAGTATGATTATTATTATGAGGATCTGAATTGCCACAATCATATCCTCTCTAAAACAAAAAATGACATTAGAACCTGAAGTAACAAGTTACCAGTTCCTCCACATTAATTTAAATATCATGGGACAGAACTTCCAAGGTCGACCAAAGTGAGCTCTGGTCCAGCAAGACCCAAGAAACTCTCTATATCTCTATTGTAAGCCAGTTTGTGGCAGATGATCCAAACTCTCTAATACAAATTGAACTAACTATAGCAACAAAGTCTAGCCTATTTTGATATGCTCTCCTCTTTTAGACAAGCCATTATATAGACTTAATGTTTAAAAAATATATATATTTATCTCTACAAGAGACCTTGTTTTGACCCTTCCAATCATGTCCTGAATTGTCTAGATAATGAACTACTATTGTTCTTTCAGTTTATAGATCTTCCCATAAGACAATCTTATACACAGTAAATCACTTCACATCATCAATAGGTCCTGAGACTTTAAGCAAAGGATGCTATTAAACCAATGTTACTATAGACTAATAGATATAAACAAGAGTTAAGTTCTCATCAACATTGTAACCAAACTTTATTCAGGGTTTCACTGTATATATGAGCTCACTCACCATAAAGTGGCCATAAAAAGTTTCATTGTCACTTATAACAACATAAAATTTAGATTTTAGAAACAAAATAACTATAAAATATTGGCAACACTGGGATATCTGGAAAGAGCATTGAACCAAAATGTACCCTGAGGAAAATACAGTGTATCCTTCAATTCTATACAAAGTACCAAGATTATTCTATAAAAAGAAAAGAAAACTTAAAAGCAAAGCTAGGTAAAGCAAGAAGTAGATAATCTGATAAAGAAAAAGTTACCAAAACTAAATTCCCAACCACAACATGTTGGGTAGCTATACTACCATTTACTGAATACCTACTACATACCTGGTATTATATCTATGTTCTATTTATTCTTCACAATAAGCCCAGGTAGATACTCTTATTCACAATTTAAGGTGAGGAAGCAGCCGAAACTGATTTGGCTCAGTGGATAGAGCGTCGGCCTGTGGACTGAAAGGTCCCAGGTTCGATTCCGGTCAAGGGCATGTACCTTAGCTGTGGGCACATCCCCAGTAGGGGGTGTGCAAGAGGCAGCTGATCGATGATTCTCTCTCATCGATGTTTCTAACTCTCTATCCCTCACTCTTCCTCTCTGTACAAAATCAATAAAATATATTTTAAAAAATAAATAAATAAAAATAAAGGTGAGGAAGCATAGACTTGGAGGGATCAAATAACCTGCAACTGACAGATCTAGTTAGTCATGGAATCAAAATTCATTTCCAATTCCACAACTCTGAACTCAAAAATCCTTGCTTGCCTTTTTCCCCCATTAAATCACACTTTTAACAACAGAAGCTTGGGTATAAAAGTTATCAGTATAAGTAGTATGAATTGAAAATATCAATAATGGCTGCAACAATATTCTGAAGGCACAATCATCTTACTTTTTATCTTTTAAAAAATAACTAACTAGATTTGGGGCCGAAATGATGGCCCCTATGAGCAGTCCTCAGTAAGAAGCTTGTCCAAATACACTGTGCAGTTTGATGTTCTCAGGCCTGTCCAGGATGGTGCCTGCCAAAAGGATGCTCAGAATACCTTCAGAGAAAATGTAGCAATGGCATATCAAGGATGTTGACAAATCTCCTCCCTAAAACAGAACTTATGTTAAACAAAACTCACAAACGACCAGCTTAGCAGTCTGAAAATCAACCCAAGCCATACACAAATCATGAGCTGTGCTTTTCCATGAACTTCAGGTAAAATCAGTACAAAACAAGCCTATTGCACTACTGCATGAGGATGCTTCCATTCCCTTGCTGCCAGCTCCATCAAGTGTAATAGTTCAACTGAACGGGCTGAGCTGAGAACACTAACAGTTTCACTGCTGGGCCAGGCTCACTAGAAATGGAGCACTGTCCCTTAAAGTGTCAATCCCAGCAACAAGAAAACACAAAGGCTAAAGGTTCTGCTAGCCTGACGCTGAAGACTTGTTAAAAGCAAGAGATCAGGAGACTAGCCATATTTCAACAGGGAGTCTGGGCGGTGAGACAGCCATAGTGCCCTAGAAAAACTCTCTACAGATATCCCAGGGTGACCAAAATTCTGCACATTCATCACATACACCAGAGGGGCTCATACCATCTACATTCCTTGCTGACAGAGATCGCATCTACATACACAAAGATGATACCAGGGGTCCAGCTAAAGGTAAAAGACACAGCAGACATGAAAGTGCCTGAAATATGAATGTGCTCCCCAAATCCACACATGGACCCATTAGCAGAGAGTGAAAGCTTTACTGACTTGAAGTCAACCTCTGACCAATCTTTGGCTGAACAAAAACTATGCTTCGTCAACGGTGAACCCTAAAAAGCTAGGCTTAAAAGCAACAAGAAAACAAATAAAAAACAACACAAGAAAAAAATCAGTACAATTGATGATAGCTCAATGGAGTTTAAGCAATCCAAGGAACAGAGGGGGAAAAAAAGATCAAAGAAAAACTAACAGAGCCTCAGAGAGCTGTAAAACAACATCAAACTTACCAACATATTTGCAATGGAGAAGAGAAAGAAGTGCCAAAAATACCTCAAATATAATGGCCTAAAATTTCCCAAATCTGATAAAGAAGCAAAATAACGAATCTTTATTATCCAAAAAGTTAAACAAAACTCAAAATGGGTTAAATACAAAGAGATACACACCTAAATACATAGTTTTCAAACTGCTCAATGACGAAGAGAAAAACTTGAAAGCAGCAAACAACAACAAAATTCATCATACACAGAGAAGAACATTGTAAACAGCTGGCTTCTCCTCATAAACAATGAAGGCCAGAAGCAATGAAATGACCACAGTGCTGAAAGAGATATGGGAGGGGGGTTATCAGTCAAGAATTGGATAACCAAAAACTACTCTTCAAAACTGAAAAGAGGAAAAAAGACATTCCATTAAGTTTTTTAAAACAGAATATGTTACTAGAAAATGTGCCTTACCAGAAATGCTACACAAAGTCCTTCATGAGACACATGGATGATTAACTTGAATCCACAAGAAGAAAGTAAGTACCAGAAAAGGTAAATATTTAGTTAGATATTAGACACTATTAAGCCCTGGCTGGTGTTGCTCGGTAGTTAGTGTCGGCCCACACACTGAAGTCTCAGGTTCAATTCCCGGTCAAGGGCACATCCCTGAGTTGCGGGTTCACTCTCTGGTCCCGGTCGGGGCACATGCAGAAGGCAACCAGCCTCACATCGATGTTTGTTTGTTTTTTCTCTCTCTCTCTCCCTTTCCCACTCTCTCCCTCCCTTTCCTCCCTTCTACTTTCTATGAAAAGCAATGAAAAACAAAAAAAATATGCTCAGGTGGGGATTAACAACAACAAAAAGAAGACTCTTAATATTTTTCTCATTTCTTCTCAAACTCTTTAGAAAACATAAGATTGCATAATTTAATAATTGTGTATAGAGCTAGGTTTAAAACATACAAGGATCAAACATATATGACAATAAATTGCATAAAGAAAGGGGAAAGAAAAAAAGACAAACTGCCATAGATTATTTGGCTCAGTGGATAGAGCATCAGCCTGCGATCCAAAGGGTTTGATTCCGATCAAGTGCACATGCCCAGCTCGAACCCCAATTGGGGGAAGGCAGGAAGCAGCCAATCAATGATTCTCTCTCATCATTGATGTTTCTATCTCTCTTTCCCTCTCCCTTCCTATCTGAAATTAATAAAAATATCTTAAAGGAAAAGAAAAAGAGACAGCCGAAACCTGTTTGGCTCAGTGGTAGAGCGTCGGTCTGCGGACTGAAAGGTCCCAGGTTCAATTCCGGTCAAGGGCATATACCTTGGTTGCGGGCACATCCCCTGTGCAAGAGGCAGCTGGTCGATGTTTCTCTCTCATTGACGTTTCTAGCTCTCTATCCCTCTCTCCTCCTCTCTGTGAAAAATCAATAAAATATATTTAAAAAAAAAAAAAAAAAGGAAAAGAAAAAGAGACAAACTGGGACAAAGTTTGTATATTTTACCAGAGTTCTGCTAGTATCATTCAGCATTCAGCTAGTAGATAATAATAAACTAAGGTACATATTACACTTTGTAATCACTAAGAAAATTACTCAAAAGTATAGCAAAAATAATAAAAGCAACACAGAAATCAGCCGAGACCGGTTTGGCTCAGTGGATAGGGCGTTGGCTTGGGGACTGAAGGGTCCTGGGTTCGATTCCGGTCAAGGGCATGTACCTTGGTTGTGGGCGTATCCCCAGTAGAGGGTGTGCAAGAGGCAGCTGATCGATGACTCTCTCTCATCGATGTTTCTAACTCTCTATCTCTCTCCATTCCTCTCGGTACAAAATCAATAAAGTATATTTTAAAAAAAATCAACACAGAAATCAAAATTATATAAGAAAATGAACACAAAAGGAAGAAGTAACATACAGATGAACAAAAGTATAAGGCAAATAAAAAAGAAATAGTAGAGCATATTTTTGAATTTGACCCAAAGGCAAGGGAAGGCAAAAACAAATGAATGGGACTATATCAAACTCAAAAGCTTCTTCACAACAAAACAAACAAGGCAACCAACCAAATGGGAGAAGGTATTTCCAAATGACAGCTCTGAGAAAGGGTTAATTTCTAAAGAACACATACAACTCAATACCAAACGAACAATCCAATTAAAAATGGGCAGAGGAACTGAACAGAAACTTCTCCCAAGAGGTCATACAAATGGCCAACAGATTTATGAAAAGATGCTCAACTTCACTAGCTATAAGGGAAATGCAAATCAAAACTACAATGAAATACTATCTCACACCAGTTAGAATGGCTATTATCAACAAGACAAGTATTAACAAGTACTTGAGTGGCTGTGAAGAAAGGGTGGGTGGGAATGTAAACTGGTTCAGCCACTATGGTAAACAGTATGGAGATTGCTGAAAAAAATTAAGAACTGAGTTACCATGTGAACAAGCAATCTCTCCCCCGCCCCCTGCAAAAAAAAATGTATTCAGAATGACATATGCACACTTATGTTCACTGCAGCATTATTCAAAGTGGCTAAGACGTGGAGACAACTGAAGTGTCCTTCAATAAATAATTTGGATAAAGATGTAGTAAATACATACTATGGACTACTACTCAGCCATAATAAACGATGAAATACTGCCATTTGAGACAACATGGTGGGCCTTGAGAATATTATACTAAGCAAAATAAGTCAGTTAGAAAAAACTTAAGAAGCATATCATTTCATTCATAT